TTTAAATTGTAATTGATCTTATTTTCTATTTATTTTGTTAGACTTATAGTACATTTAATCAGGAAATTGTTGCTCGTTCATCTTCCAAACTCAGTCGTTTTGCTAATTCGAGTATAGTTCGTGTCTTATGTTGTATTTCCTGTTTATGTATTATCTTTGGTCCCATTTATTATTGCTTACGTGAGATAGGCTCAACGCGAGATAAAATTGTCGCCGATTATATGTTAATGAAATCAGCTGATACTTTTCTTCAATTTAATGCTCAAATGATTGCTAATGCAGTAAAACAACGCTCATATGAATCTTATGTAGCACATTTTGCTTAATTATACAATTATTCTTTTCATTGATATACTGGTGCGAGTAAAGAAAAATTTCAAAAATTTCATTCTAGATGATATAATTCCTATATGGACACTCTCGTTTTTCAAGCAGTTATCTTTGTTTGCGGTTGTATAGCATGAAATATATTATGTAAAGTAGAAATTTTCACAGACTACGACAACCTTACATTTTGGGTGTGAATATGAGTGCGGGTGTGTGAACAGCTCTATTAGCGTCTCTAACGCTCACTTCAATGACGTAAACTCGACAAATAAAGTAAGTATGTGGTTGATCAGGTCACAGAAAGCGGCAGTTCTGATATTTGAGAATATGCTCCAGGAAAGTTTGAGGCTTACAACAAATTGCACAGCACACCAAGAAGTAGAAACTTGAATATTTATGGTTGATTGAGTTATGCGCACTAAAAATGAGAAGCAGATCATTATCGTGTTCGACCGTTTCTTTTGACACTATCTGCCGATCGTCGGTGGAAAAACGAGGGTGTGAGTGTGGGTGAAATGAAGCAATGTTTTCACACCTACACCTCCACCACACAAATTTATTCAATATTTACCACTGTATCTATTATATCCGAGCGATAACATCGAAATGATTCTTTATCTTCATAGGTAAACATATTCTACTTATCTGGTACTGGCTCTTTAGATATCAATACTTTAATCAAATGTTCAAGGATAAAAAAGTTCTAATAGAGTATCTTGGCTTGTTTTTTCGTTACCTGAAGTAACGTTTCCCTAAAAGTAAATGTATCTTGTTAAATATAGAAAATAAATTAGATATGATACGTCTAATGCATTCTAAAACCTAAATGTTAATATTGAACATGTTTCTGCAATTGGATATTATCCTGTTATCTCAGTACATTTCTAAATTAATAGAAAAACAAACAAATAGCTATAAATGAAAGAAATTTTGTCATAACAAGACAACAAAAATTAATGCAAAAGTATTTGTGATTGTGAATTTGTTGTCATAGACATTCGAACAATAAGTTGAATAAGATTTTCACCAGATTGTATTATTAATTCTGTAATACATTCCGCATTTTCTTTTTTGTTAAAAATCAATTAGAAAAAAAAAGAATAAAAGAAGCTCGTTTTACTTTACTTCCTGCTGTTAACCAATAAGTAAGTATTGTTTCAAGTTCTATAATATGTGATCAAAGACAAGAAGATCCAAAACATAGCTACAATCCTAAGTCCAAATCCAAACTCAAATCTAAGTCACACGATTTGGATCCCCAATGCAAAATCTTCTCAGGGTTTATTGCATCCTAGAATCGACGAAGAATAATTCTACAACGATGAAACCGATTCTCAAAATTTATTTTTGCAGTTATAGAAATTTTACAAGTAGTAAAATGATATTATATTGTTTTCTAGTCATTCCCTAGATTTCACTATGAAAGCAGTGAGTTGAAGTTATATTGTGTTCGATATTACTTAATTTGACTTTATCCTTTGATTAAATGGCAAAACTCATGTGATTTCCATATTGTAACTATATCAGAGATTGTGCTAACAAGTTTTTTCAAAATGGAGTATATAGTTTTAATGTTTTCCAACTATCAAGTGATTCGAACGAAGTCAAATTGGACATTAATTACTTAATAATGAGGAAATAACTATTCTTCAAAAAACCAAGTTATGCTATGCGTCTTATCTCTCATTAAACATAGGAGATCAATAGCATTTAGAAAAATGAATAACTTCCAAGTATACTGATTGCATGTTAATAAATACATAAAAACATATTGAACTGTGGAATGGTTTCGAATAGAACTTCTCCATTCACAGCATTTTCTCGTTCGGAAAACTGTTACAAGATAATGAGAAATGACAAATTTGATCCTCCCTTCTATCTTGTTGCAATCCTTCACAAACTACGACAGTCAGACAGATTGATCAAGCTTTCAAGTGGCACAATAATTCATACGACTAGGGTTCTGTATCATGTTTTAACCATGGAGGAGTTATGCTGAAATCTTTCGACAATGAAAGACACAACTTATGCTTTTATTCCAAAGTGCCGCTCAGGAGAAAATAGGAAATGAATTGCATTCTGTGACACCGCAGAACACGACTAATACTCTTACCTGTATTCGGGCATCTCTTTTATATTTTTTTTCGTTTCA